CTGCTACGTGTCTCATGAGAAGGGCCAAGCAGCAGCTTACGCGAGCAAGACGTGCTGCTGCTGCTGACGGCTCCGGTGGAAACCCGGGGTAAATGTTAGCTGGATGAGTGGGGGGAGGCAGAAAACGACCGGATAGGACATCTTACTAATTAATATTCATGAAATGCAAACATCTTGCCTCTGATTGGCTGACAGCAACGTGACTCTTCTGCTGCCATCGTTCGCTCTTCTTTCTTGGGTAAAAAAATGCAATGCTGACATTTTATCTGACGCGTGCACAACGTGCTGCTGCAGTAACGCGCTGCTGACAGCTCCGGTGGAAAGAAGGGGTCACCCTAACCGTAACAGCAAGCCTCAAGATTTAAAGAAATGTTTCAATCATGTTGACATGTCAATGGTTCAAATACTTCCCAGCTCACCAGTATTGCTCCCTAAATGTTTGGAGAAACTGCATCAGGAATGGCAAGCTAGTGTAGACCAAGGTTTACATCTTAAAACAGTACTAATGCTAAAATTTCCTAAACTTTTGCACCACCATTATTTTCCACATCTTTCATCCTCTTGAGTTTGCTGGTTATTTTGCATGTGTACTTTTTCCCTTGCTGTTTCAGATCAGATGTACCTCATTTACATAAAAATCAAACGTTACTGTCAGGAAAATGGTGGCTGCTTGTTATGGCCACCAGCCTGGCCGCTTCAGGTGCAGGAGCCAGGATTGCCCAGCCCCGGTGATCAGCCAGACACCACTCCTCCTCCTCCTCTCCTCCAGGCGACTGAGGAGTACAGCTGAGATAAATCCCACTGATGACCCACACCTGGGACAAAAAGGCTGTGCCTTCAGCAGTCTGGAAGGCAGCAGTGCAGGGGTTCTGCTGTCCTCCAGGCCTCAGAGTTTGTTTGAAACCCCTTTTGTTTTGAAGAGTTTGAACTTTAACAGTTTTAACTCTGAGTTGATGAGCTTTAAAGAGTTAAAGCTCTGAATGATCCAGAGGGATCGTTAAGCCATGGTTAACTTGGTGCTGCTATTTTATTGACTCTGATTTTAAACACCTTCTGTTTGGTAAAACTTTTAACATAAGTTTTAACCAGGTGTTTTAAATGTTGTAATGTTTTTTAATTTGAACCTTTTGAGAGTTTTTTTTTTTGCATTATTTTAATATTGCCAAATAAATAATATTTAAAGTGGCCAGGCTGGTGCCCATAACACTGATGTTGTAGGACCCAAATGCATTAAATCCAGGAGGCAGCCAGTTGAAGCAGTCAACAACCCTTTAATGGAAAGGCACAAGGAGCACAGTGAAAACACACACAAGGAACCACCAAGGAACAATGAACAGAGCAGGCTTAAGTACACTGAGGTAGCATGGAGACAAGGAACAGGTGTGATGATTACTGATTGCAAAGGGCCTACAGATGTGATTGGTTTGTTTGAGGATGGAAGGTAATACAAAAACACAAGACTGAACCAGATAACAATACGATGCCAGAAATAAACTATTCTAAAAATAACTGAAGAGGGAAAATTATAAGAATAATCTAAACAGAACAAAAACAAGATAACACAAAGAGCCAGAGAGAAAGCATTATAGAAAGTCTAAATGAGAAATGACTGAGGATAGTTTTATAATCAAACACTAAGGGCAGAATGTGAAACAGAAAGCTAAACAGAAGGATGAACTAAACATAAATGAGAACTAACCAGGAACTAACACTGGGGAAACAACAGCTAAGAGAAGTGCAGGGGTCAAAGGTCATAGACACAAAAGGCTAAACAAACAGGGACCTGACGATACTAAGATACACAAAAACAGGGAAGGGAAAACTAAAGAAATAAAATAGGCTGGGCAATGGAAATGGCATGACTGGAGATGGGAAATAAAGTTTAAACACCTGAATGATTAATGAGGGAACTGGAGACGGGGTATGGAAGGGACAGGGAGGACAAGGACACCTAGGAGGGAGAAACATGGAATAGACTGGGGGGACAAGGGACACAGAACATGAATTACATATATATTTAGCAGGTGTCAGTAAATGCATTTGAAAATGTGAAAATGCCATTGAATAAAATAAATAATACATAAATAAAAAATACATAAATTCAAGTCTCCCAAAACAAAATGTCCTCATATGGAAAAGCAGGAGGCTCCAGCAGAAGACAGTTTTACTGGATTTGACTCCTGAAGGCTCTGAATCTGAATTTTTGCTGTTGCTGATTTTCACACTTGTAAATGACCGTGTCATTTAAATGTGCAGGAGCACAAAGGCCTATAAAACAAAGTGAAAATCTGCAGATTAGAGCTCTTTTCTATTGAAATAGTTCCAATTTGGTCCTGGTGGCACAGACTGGAGATTAGCTTTTCTAACCTGTCTGAACTGTATTGTTGTAGCTAGAACGCTGTTCACGGCAGTAAAGATAATATGTATAACTTTTGCACACAAGCACACAACAAAGATGCCAAAATATTCCATTGACTTAGACAAAACACACAAAATCCTCACATCTGTTGAGCTGAAAGAGGAAAACTTGTTAGATTTTCCCCCAAAGTTAGAAGAAAAAATCATAACAATTGTGCTGAACAATCTGCTGTCAATCACTGAATCAGCTCCATCAACCCTCCTGGCCAGGAGTCCTTTCCGTCCCTGTGCCTGTGTGCATGGTATACGAGGAAATAAAAGCAGCTATTTAAGGAGTGCCCTCCTTGACTTCAGCCTGAGTGCTGATGACAACTTGGATATCTTAGATGCATAAAAATGAGATTTTGAAATGACTTCAAAAAGAGAAGCATACGGATGAGGTGGACCCTCTGCCAACAGAGAGGCGAGGAAACAGATGGGTTTTTACACAAACAGCACAAACATCAAGAACACTGAGTTAAAGAGCTTGGCAGTCTCACTTGATGAAACAGTGAGGAATCGAGGCGCTTTTAATGAGCATCTCTCCTGTGATGCAGAATGGGAAAAGACGAACTGTTCGCTCTTAAAGGGGCATTTACAGTTGGTTGGTCTGGGCTGATGCTTCTGCTAACTGCTTGTTGAGTGGTCAGTGTGCCATGCTGGCTGGTTTACAGTGGTCAATGTAAATGGTCGTTAGTTTTTAGTGTTGAATAAAACAAAACCTATATTCCAGTGTGTGTGTGTGTGTGTGTGTGTGTGTGTGGTGGGGTTTACTCTAATTACAAGAACACTTGCTGATTCCTTTTTCAATAATAAGTAAAAAAGAAATTCACAGGTTATTTTTAAACGGTGTTTTTATATATACATATATATATATATATATATATATATATATATATATATATATATATATATATATGTATATATATATATATATATATATATATATATATATATATATATATATATATATATATACATATATATATATATATATATATATATATATATATATATATATATACATATATATATATATATATATATATATATATATACATATACATAGATATATATATATTTTTTTCTGCTCGGGCTTTCATTCGTGGCCAGCGTCCTCTCTGAAACATCAGCCTACATCACTGTCAATGTAAATGTTCAACAGGATGAAAGAGCTCAAAGACATCAGTGGGTATGGAAAGTATTCAGATCCTTGTCAATTTCATGTAGTGAACGTTCGCCATTTTAAAAATAGAAAATTACCAATTGTTGCTAGTTAGCTTTGATGGCACTGACACACCCGTCTCTAGTTTAAACAGCAGGAAATATCCAAGGCTCAGGTGGGTTAGATTAGAGCAGTAACATCACAGTGACCCTTGGTCCCATCACAAAGCTGTTAGACAGTCACTCAGGCTGTGATGGTGTCCTCAGCTCAGTATCTTTTAAGTATGAGAGTAGTGCGCTCCATTTTCCAGACTGTTTTTACTCATTTACCTGATGTGTCCTGAGTGTTGGTGGCAGTGGGAGGCGCCGGCTGCTGTGTGGATATGTATGCAGGGCCACTTTCGCTCTACCTGCCACGCTGAGCTGATTGCTGTCACACACACCGCACTCTCACGGGTGATGTAATTGGATTCCATGGGTCCCTATTTTACAGTTCATTGCCATGTAATGAAATCAGTTATTTACTTTCATCATAAAGTCTGATAGGGGACAACATCTGTTGGGGTAAAGTTTGAGTGAGCGCTGCATTTGCATGTTGATGTGGCCAGCAGCATCCTGAGGCGCCGCTTTGTGCTTGCAGAACATTTCAGAATCTGCTTCTTATTCAGTGAATTTGAGTAAAATAGCAGCGTAGAAGCAACAGTAAGACCAACCACTGCTTGCTCATGTTAAAGAGAAGGGTTAGCAGCATTGTGTCCCTACTCCACTCTGCCTGCTGTCTCATTATACTGCTGCTGATGCTGCTGGAGGACACTGAAGGACACAAGCGATTGAATTCAAGTGTTGTATATTCCCTGGAAACCAATCAAGAAAAGCCCCAGAATAATAATCCCTGTCCGCTGTCATGATTCATTTTTATTTTGTTCCATATTTTTCTCCAGCTTTTGAGTCGCTCAGGAAGGGTGGTTCCAGCATAAAATCAATGTTCCATTAAAATTTAATGGCCAGGAAGGGCTTAATAGTGGTGGAACAGATGCCTCTGCTTTTCAGGTTGCCGACGTCTCAAGAACTCTTATTCAGAGCTATATTGGTGTTGTCAGGCCCTCTGATGGTTACCCTTTTTAGCTGCTATGAGAACTAAAGATATTGGCATTTCTCTCCCTCAGAGTGGTGAAATTAAATTTTTTGAAATTGACAGTAAAGCTCACTCAATCCCTCAAACATTGGCAGAGGAGTCTGCAGCTGATGGCACGCTATTGTCTAAGTATAATCACTGACTGTGTTAATGTTGACTAAAGGCTAGCACAAACAGACTCCAGACTCACATCTGCAGGATATACGAGTGCGTGCGGCACAGGGGCTAAACTGGGAGGACAGTATGAGGAGAGTGAGAATGATTAAATGTGACTATTAAAAAGAAATACAAGTGGACTTACAGGTTCCTTGTGCTATTGTTTTTATTATTGTTATCATTGCTATTGTTGTCATCATTATTAATTGTAGCAGAACAAGAGAAATTAAAAACACTCCTCAGCAATCATGGCTTAAGTTTCATCATACTCAGCTGGAACAGAGAGAGAGAGAGAGAGAGAGAGAGAGAGAGAGAGAGAGAGAGAGAGAGAGAGAGAGAGAGAGAGAGAGAGAGAGAGAGTGAGAGAGAGAGAGAGAGAGGAAAATCTTAATCATTTTTTTCTTTGAGGACCATATGGATGGTTTCGAGGAGCCAACCATATGTTGAAGGCTTTTGTCATGGAAATCATACTTTTTGGCACTTTTTCATTGCGCAGCCAAGCCGGGCACATCGACACAAAGGAAAGAACAAAAGAGGAAAACATGATCAGATCTTTGAGAATACACAGAGTTGGAAGTTTTTGTTTGAACTCTTAACAGATAGCTTCTTAGCCAAGACACTCCCTGATTCACATGGCCATCCAGACTGCAGTTGGTACCTGTATTTGTCTTTTTTAATAGAAAAAAAATAGAAAAAGAGCATTTAAATGTCTACATGCATTGTGATATTATTGCTGTGGTATATTTACAATAATATTTACAAGAGGAACAATGTTTCCCAAAAGTAGATTGCAATCTCCTCCTTCTTAAAGAGGAGGGGAGTGGATCGGTAGTACTGCCGGTTTCAGTCCGTTTGTGTGTCTGATGATCTCGGTGCATCTGCCCGTTTTATTAAAACTGAGAACAAGTCACATCATCTCACTCAGCTAAAGAGAAAAGGTATAAAAGAATCTTTTTGGAAGTAATAAATGGAGCATTTGTTTAATAACACGGCGTCGCTCCGAGCTGTGTTCATCGTTAGACAGGTGGTTTGGATGCTCTCATGCAGGGATTCAGCTGTAGCTCTATAGGAAACAGGGAGGAGAGGGAGCACACTCCTCTTCGCTCCCCTTTCTCCCCCAGTTTGGGAGCTTTGTTGTTCAGAGCGAGCTCAGCATTACTGCGAAGGTGCCATCCATTTGGAATATGCAAATAGCTGACAGTGCATTTGCCTGCTGGTGCTTGACCTTCCCCTTGGAGGTCGCTCACCGACTCAATTACGCTCCCTATCTGCAGTCTGTCTACAAACACCTGTTATCCTCCCACACGCCACCACCCTCCGCCAATCCCACTTCAGCACATCGAATGCTGCCTGCGTCTGTTCAGAGGCAGTTGGGACGGCCGGTGGGGAGGGGAAGGATGCAGGACAAATGAAGTAGGAGCTGGAAGAGCATCCCTGCATGTCAGTTTATTGCAGCTATCTTGAAAACTTTCTCTGCCAATAAAGTTCATGCCCTGATCGTTTTCATTAGTGCTGCTTAAGAGGATGCAGAAGCATCTTAGAGGGATTTTTGTCTTTTACACCTCAGAGTTTTAAACCTGCGTTTTAAATTAGTGGTCACTGAATTCAAACACTTTAGTGTTACTGTGATCCAAACCATGTCCTTTCAAAATTAAGGTTAAATAATTATAATACAGTATTTTTCCAGGTATTTAATCAGTTCTCAGTTGTTAATGTCCTCATCGTTGCCATCGTTGTTGTTATTGCTGTTGCATTTATTCAGCTTTTGTCTGCTTAGTAGGAAATTTAAACGTTTTTAGGCTACGGCCACACACATGTTAGCGACCTCTGAGATTTAATTATTGCCTGAGATTTAGAGAGAAAACACAGGACAATAACCTCCATTAAGTAGGAGGCTCGTCAGTTTTTTTTTTGTTAGGTTTTTTTTGGGAATATGCCAGGTCAGCATTATTTTTGCGTTTTGTTTTCATCATTTCATTTTATTGCCTTAAGTCAAACGAAAACAGAACAGCTGTGATTGTTTTACATGTCAATTGCTTTTTCTAAGTTATTGCCACAGAAACAAAAGAAATAATTCTGCATTCATTCATTGGAAGTCCTCTAGTACTGGTTCTGTACATTGTTCCTCTTTAAGAACTAAGTCCCATGGACTCTCTACAGTTTTCATGCATATAAACATTTTCTTTGAAGATCAGCAGCATCTTACAAGGTCAATGGATGTTCATTTTAAAAAAAGATGTATAAACAATAAATAAATAGACAATAAATAAGCAATTATTCAATAAATACACAAAATAAAGTGAATAAATAAATAAATAGATAGATAAATAACAAATAAATAAATAATAGGAGCATAGATAAAGTATTTACATGATAAATAGATAGTATGCATCTAAACCATGGGCGTAGCTTTGAGCCACATACAAAATAGAGAAACATAAAAATCTGAATGTCACTTTTGTAACTGAGGGTGTGTGAGTCCATACCGTCACTCTGAGGTAATACTGGTGGTGGGGGTGGGGGGGCACCTCTAATACGGGGTGAAGATTACTTGATACGAGTGGACGAGGCATCATGAAGGCAGCAGAGGGTGTGGGAGTCATCATGGTGCAGGAAGAACAACAAGAGTTTTAAGATTGCGATAGACGAGTGAACCGCTCATGGCACTTATTAGGTCATTTGGTCTGGCTCTTCATGTTTTTGTTTGTCAGAGTGACTGACAGATTGATCCGATGGAACGACTGACGAGGCCTGGTCAACAGGCCAATATTTTAGGATTCGCTGCTCCTGCGATTGTTTCTGTAGCTTATTTAGGATGATCTGTTTACCTACCCACAGTTACAAAGATGCTTTTGAGATAAAAACCACAAAAAGTTAAACTAGAAAAAGTAAATAGAAAAATAACATCCGCTGATTTAAAATGTTGGTGTAACAACAGTGGGGGTGGTGGGGGGGGGGGTTGTTTTTTTACCTTTTAAAATGATCTCCTTTTTTTGCAAATACTGTCATAGTTCACATTTTTGTAAAAAGTTTATGTTGGCAGTTGCAAAAGAATTCAATTCTTAGCAAATAAAAAGCAGCATAAAAATACAAGAGGTCATTTTGTCTCTAGAAAACAAAAGAACACTGTTAGTCCTTTTTATGTTTTTTTTTCTTTTTCTCGTTACTATTTCCTATAAAATATCAGGAATCTAAATATTACTATTGATATCAATATCATTATAGTCATTGATAAAAATTCACATGCCAGGCCTCATATATAATTGTGTGTGTGTGTGTGTGTGTGTGTGTGTGTGTGTGTGTGTGTGTGTGTGTGTGTGTGTGTGTGTGTGTGTGTGTGTGTGTGTGTGTGTGTGTGTGTGTGTGTGTGTGTGTGTGTGTACAACTATCATCTAAAGTCTCTATTTTGAGGAAGGTTGTCTGATTGTATGTTTCTGTGGACGATTAGCTACTGTGCGGGGAAACAAAATCCAGCATCTTTTGAAATTGTCTTTGCCATAATTCAGTAAAGTTTCTTCACGTAATCTTAGTGAAAATATTGCTTTCTAAAAAAAGGGAAGAAAAAAGGCATGGAGGGCTGAGTGAACAGGGTTACTGTTGTGAACCTACAACAGGGGTTCAAAAAATTTAGCTTCTTCCTCACGGTCAGTTTTCTGATCCAGAGTCGTCCTCGTCTGCTGAGCCCTTGAAGCAAGCTGACTCATAGTGCTTGTTCAGGTAGGACTTGAGAGCGAAGGTCTTATTGCAGCGCTTGCATCTGTAGTGCTTGAAGGCAGAGTGTGTTTGCATGTGGGCGCGGAGGTTTGAACGGTCAGCAAAGGCTTTGCCACAATGGGCGCAGGCGAAGGGCTTCTCCCCCGTGTGTGAGCGCATGTGACCTTGCAGCAGCCAGGGCCGACTGAAGGCCTTGCTGCACACGTCGCACTTGTGCTTGAGGTCGTGGGTGAGGATGTGCATTGCCAACGCGGGCATTGACACATACACTTTGCCACAGGTGGGACATTTGCGGGCCATCTTGCTGTCCAGGCTGCGGTGCGTCTGCTTGTGTCTGCTCAGGTTGGAGGAGGTGGCGTATGTCTTTCCGCACTCGTTACAGGTATGGCGTGGCACGCCGGCTCCCCTCTCCTGAGCCCCACCATTTGCGCTGCTGCTTCTTGAGCTTGCCCCATGAGCCTCCCCGTCTCCTTTTCGCCTGGAGCGCCCGTCGGAGATGAAGAAGGCATCCATGGTGTAACCCTCGGCCAGAGCCTCCGATTCACCAGTGTAGAAGCCGCTCGCTGTCATGCCAGACTGTGGGCTGTCAGGGTGTTTCAGGTCGGGGTCACAGTACTCGCCTCCACTGTTCACCTGGGTGTACAGGGGGTCTGACACCGGCGAAGCCAGCTTTTGCTCCATCTTCTTCTCCCCCTGGTATACAGATGGCGTGATGTAATCCTGGATGTATCCTGGGTAAGAGACAGACGCAAACACAGTTGGCCAGAGGTTGTGATGGATGAGGACACAGTGACATGCCGGTGATTACATTATTACAATGTTGGATGGCTGCCCTTTTTCAGAATGGTGAACAGGTGAGTGGCAGCATAGAAAAACGGGTTGTTCACACAAAGCGTCGGCGATGCAGAGAAACACAAAGTCCTCAGCTGGGTTCAGGAAGGTGCTGGGTAGCAATTCATCACAGAATAACACTCAGCTCCTCTCATTCTTAGTCTTATTTTCCCACAAGTATTTCAATGTTTTTCAATAATTTCTTCATGCAGTGCTTTGTTAATGCATGATAGACCAGAGCAGCATATTTCTGCTCTTGGAGAAAAGGGTTGCTGCTTTTTCCACCAGAACTGAACATGATAGAGCAAGTCAAAACACACCGTGAGTGATTTAGGTGTCTCAGACAGCACAAATCCTGATTTCTAAGAGATGCATTTCATCTGGCGTCCTTCTCGGCCTTCCTTTCTTTCTGAAGAAGCTCGGTGACAAAGGAGCTAAAAGTCTCGCTGGCAGCTAAATGAACCCAAACAGAACTTGATGCTGAGACAGATGTAACAGAATACATACTAAATACATTTGACTGTCTTTTTCTTTTTTAAGTTAAACAAAGAAATCCGGATGTGAAAAGTGGTCAGATTCTCTTCCAGGGACAAATAGTGCATAACTGCAGAAAAAGGCCATTCCTAAGCATTGTGTGCAGCAAGCAGTGGAAATTAGGTATTGACTGCTTTTTAATGAAATTCAAAGTTTTGAACTGATCAATAGGCTATCATCTGTAAAACAGTGCAGCTGTTAGAAGAGTGGAATGCTGTAGAAGGTAGAAATAATGCATGGAATAGATCAAGTGTCTGCAGGACACAATAAGAGTTTATTGGACGCTGTTTGCCTGAGTACTGATAATGTGCGACGTAATGTTTGCAAGGAGGGTCACCTGTCTACAGCAGCCAGCACGCTGAAGTGCTTTCAGGAAACAAGCCATTAAGAAATCAGTTTAAGTGCTCTCCTACTACAGCTTCTCCATCCCCAAGGGTTTAGTTCACACACCCCCTTTGTCAAAGACATGACCGTGACACCCGGGGACGAGCAAACGACAGGCCTGTGCATGTGGTATTATGCTGCACTGCATGGCTTCACAGTTTTAAACTGCACAGATGGTGTTTGTCCATGACAGAGCATCCCTCTTTTCTAAAACCAAGTCTAAAAAAAGTAACTATCTGTTTCAGCCTTACAGCTGCTGGTAAATACACAAAAGCTGCTGTTAAGATGATTAAAAGCAGCCAAATCCACCTATTTTACAGCCACAACACCAATTACAGAGAATTGATCTGAAGTGTATTTACTCTTCTTCTGACAACAAGCCCTATATTTGCTGATATTGTTATTATTGCTGTTATTTTCATCAACAAATCCTGCGTGCACCACCACAGAAAGCAGGGGTGTTTAGTGAGCTTCAATTACCCAAGGTCAGACATGAAGCTCATCGTTTAGGACTCACGCTGCATCAGCCTTTACAGCTCATAGACTCATTTCTGAGATGCAAAGCAAGCATGTAATTAATGGACCCTCTCAGCCACCCCTCTTTGTTGTTCCACAGACACTCAAGTCAAATGTCTCCACTATAGGGGGAAAGAAAATCTCCCGGCAAAGCAGAAGTGCTGACGTTAGCTGTTTCAGCCTCGTCCAGAAACCTTTTATTTTACCTTTATTTATTTTGTCTTGAGTCAGCGTTAAAGGATGCTTCTTTTGTTCAGATGAAATGGTTTTTATTCACATTGTGATGGTGCCTATTTTGTTCTTTTCATCTGTTTAATGATAAAGGCTATTTTTCACAGTGTTGAACAAAAGAATCAAGAACAAAAGAGCAACACAATTAACTGTTTATTAGCGCAATCCTGCAACAGGAAGCTTAAACGGGTTTCCACGAAAGCCAAAAGACATGCAAGTAGAAGTGCTGATTATTACTTTTACTTCTAATAATTCAGAATTCATTTTGGTTAATTTTGTTCTGAATTCCATCTACTGACTCTGCTTCTTTAAATTTCACAGTGCTACAAGGATGGTTGAATAACAGGTGGGCATCAGCCGCAGTCACTATTTTCTCATTACAAAAACATCTTAAGGAATCACAACAAAGGCTCACACACGGCCCTCTGAACACGGCCACAAAATGGAAGCGGTGGGTTTCAAGCAGGGTTGTGGAAGTGAAGGTTGCCCCTCAGCTCTGACCGGAGCAGAGTGGAAGCGTGAGCGGCGACCACGGTGCAGTAATGAGCCTTTCTTCATGTTTACTGTACAACCTCTGTCACGTGATCTGCCTCACTGCTGTTCCAAGCATTTTTTGTCTCCTTATTCTCCTTCCTCACCATCCCTTTATCCCAGCTCTCCACCTCCCTCCTGGCTTCCCTGTACAGCGTGTTGATGTCTCTTGTGGCAGCAATAGGCCTGCATGGCTGAAACTCTAACCCCTGCTAGTTTTCAAATGCCCGGAAGGAAGAGAAAGATGTAGTGGAGCGATGGGGGTGGGGAGCCTGTGTGCATGCTCCATTTGGATGGGAAGGGGGGGCAAGGGAGGCTCGGACCATGATGGGAACTCAAGGACAATAACAGCTAAGGACAAATGTATCATTTGATACTCATCTCTCATATTCATGAATTTTTTAGTCCATATGATGACCAGATATCGCCAGCATGCGTGTTGAGCCACCGCAGGGGTGAAGCAGTTATACAAATACGTAACTGGAGCTCCTCCTGATTAGACACACATTTTGTTCCCTATTTACATAAACTAATCCGTGCCTGTGACCTGAATTGTGTCTGCCCTTCATTGGAGTCAAAAAACAAAAGTCTGGGAGCACAGGGATGGGGGTGGGGAGCCTCTGAAGCGGATTATTTTGGATGTTGGTGCAGAAAATCAGCTGGCTGCATGTTACATGTCATATTAATTTACGCACTACGCGGGCATTATTGGCTGACTCATGGAAAAATCCTATCTGACAAATAAAACAAAAGAGGACACCATCCGTGTGAAAATGTCCAAGCATGCTGGAATCAGCTCTGGAGCTGTTTACGGGCACAAGTCTTAGGAGATCTTTCACTGGAGGCATGTTAACTCACCATTCTCACTGAGACGGACCCCAAGGCTGGTTACCGAGTCTGTGATGGAGCGAGCAAAAGTAAACGAGTCGTCCAGGTGGCTGTGATGATTGGAGGTGGCCACATTGGACGAAGAAAAATCGTCAAGTTTGATCTTTTTCACTAAAAATGAGCGGGGCATGTTTCAATGGATGGAAACACAGAGCTGAGAAAAACACATGAGAGAAAATAAAAGACCCTCAGAGGATGCAGAGCAGGCTTGACGGTAATCCTGGTGGATGATGTGGTCAAAAACATAAGACAAGAAAGAAAATGGAAACCAGTGTTGAACAAAGCTGATGGCAATGCTGAGTGATGCTCTCTGGTTCCCCCAGCTTCCTGTGGAAAAAATAAAAAAAATAAAAAATAAAAGCGATCCTGTTCAGCACTGGATAGCTCCTGTGATGCAGCAGGCTTAAGAGACCAGTGAGGAAGAGAAGAGATGGAGACAGACAGAGAGAGGAGGGAGAGAGGGAGAGACTGTCAGACTAGCTGAGATCAGCAATCACGCCAGCCTTTATATGGGGCACAGGCAGTGGAAGATCAGGTGGTGCTGCGAAATGGAGCTGCTTAGCTTTAATCCATCAAATGTCCCCGGGGACACACATCAAATTACTACTGAACCGTCTGTGCATTCGCACACAGACAGAGGAGAAAGCACAGCTAGACCCCCACTGCCCCCCCCCCCTCCTTTCACCCCCCTTATGCTCCATGCTCAGAGGAGGAGTAAAAGAGATGGGCAGACAATGGAGATGTGGATAAGAGCACACTCGGTGTCCTGTCCCCCATTGTCTTCAGATGAAGTGGCACAGTTTATGTTTGTCTTGTACCGGCTCTGCCTCCCCGGAGTCATCCCTGTTACCTCTAACAGCCTCTCCTTCTCTCCGACGCTCTGCACTGTCCTCACTCTCCAAACCGTTCAGGAGAGGTCATTCCTGTGTCCGGGAGTCCTGCACCTTTTCACAAAGTGTCTCTGGATTCCAGCAGTGTTGATGAGCCAGCTACAGGAAGAGACCAGATCTGCTCAGCTCAGCTCGTCTGTCTCCCTCCCCATTACCGCTGCACAGATGTGTGTCCTGCCATGCGTGGCAATGAATTATCTGATTAATTAATTACATCTTTTTTGATTAGGGTGAAATCCAGAATTAGATCCACGCTCACTAAATTGGCCACATATCTCTTGGTACGTTCAAAATTTGTGTAAATTAATTTGGCACTTTAGGATTTTTATGCAGAGCTGTGCAAAGCGTTTGTCATTAAACAGAAACTGACTCAAAAATGTAGCAGAAACAGAAACCATGCACCTGTGAACACTTGTGTCACATCACTGGTGAAATTATGATCCATTATCTAACTTTAATATTTATTAGTCACATAAAACCTGGTGGTTTTGTTTCTGTTGTGTCAGCAGCAGCGGAGAAACCAGAACAGATCCGACCAATGGGGGCAAAGCTACCATGATGGAAACATCTTCAGAGCAGGTTTCAACAAGGTGTTGTTGTTTGAATGTTTATGGATTGACCATTTTAAACTGCTTTAAAGTTTTTTAGCACAAACACCTCACAAAAACAGCCACTCTGGCATTTTAAAAGCTTTGACAGCCTAAATTATTATTCTGTACTTTCTTAGATAGCGAAGGCTAACCCTTTCTTATTCAACGTGATTCATTTAAGAGATTTAAGCAATCTATTTTCCCAATGCAAAAAGTGGAAAAGACCACATGTAGATTAAAAAAATCAAGATCTCCTCCAGCCTTGAGGTAAACTTTCATTAAGATATATTTTTATTGCACGCCGGTTTTTGAGAGATTCTCCCTGACCTCTCACCTCGGTCGCTCTAAATTATCTTCGCCACCAACGGTGATCCTGCAGCTCGGATGCAGACGGAGTGTTGTTAAATCAGAGAGGACTGATCACACATAAGTGATTGTATCTTACTGGACAAGCTCAAATCCTGCATCTTCATAGCCACTTTTTTCTTTTTGTCCTTTTTAATAAACTGTGCTACATGAGTCATCTTGTGGGGAAACACTTCGCACAATGATCTGACTCTTTGCCTCCCTTTGCTCTTCTTTTCTGCTGCGATGAATTAGGGTTGCAGCATGGATCATTATTTGTTCCTCAGAAAGAAATCCCCGTAGCTGATGCGTTCGTCTTCAGATGTTATTCCACAGAGCGGAGGTTAAAAGAACAATGAACCTTCCGTGACTCACCCTGACCTTTTCTAGCAGTGCTTTGTACCTGCAGGCAGCATTTCTCTGAAACACCATTTACTTCTGTCATTATTCAGCTCTTTGCACATCCAGATCTGTGTTTAAACATCACACTCGCAGGGCTAAGAGGTCACAGAGTTTTCAGGACATGTTTAATATTTTGAAGGGAGGATGAATGTTTTTTTAATTGCAGCTTTTCTAGTTGCTCCGTTTGTTTCCATGAAAAAACAAAAATCTTGCTGAAGAACAAATTGGGACCTTCCACAAAACAACTTCAAAGGTTTTTTATGCATATAAATTAATCAGTTTTCATTTACCAGATGGGTCCAGCTCTAAATGTAACAATGTGTGCAGAGTTAGACTTGACTCCTCATAGATGCTTCTAAATATAGCTGAGGTCGTCACAGTACATTACAGCTTGTTCTGCAGCAGAAGCTTTTATCTGAGGCATCGTACAGGTGAGTAAGAACAATCAGTACACTAGGAGACACATTAGGAGTTGTTCTATTAAATAATGAAGTGCTGGAGCAGATTCAGAAGGAATAAGAGCAGAGCAGGTGAGCCGTGTAGGGAGTGTTAGAGGAATCAGAGGAGACGAGATGGGTCTTTATGAGATTGTGGAGGTGGAGAGGGGCATTCCTGCTCTGATAGCGGCTCGTTCTACATCATTGAGCCTAAAGTGAAAATAGTCTGAACCAGGACTGCTTCTGGGAATGGCAGGGCCGGACACAGTGCTTGCAAGGAATGAATTGATAGAGAAGGAGAATAAACCTATGAGTGAGTGAAGGCCAGGGTTTCATCAGACTGCTGTGGTCACCGACAGATTCACCATGTGAGATACATCCCTACGGAGACATAAAATTCCTCACAAGAGTACCAACTCCGTGTAATCCCGCTTGGAATCCTGCATGTTTCCTCTCAGTTTTGCGTCTTTGACTTGTCACCGACAGTCAGAGCCCAGCGAGGTACGGCCCTTAGTGACTTAAATAAAACCTCAGGGAAAATGTCACCTTTTTGATTGGGTCGCCCAAGTCTGAAAATCAACAGCCATTCATGGTGGTGCTGTTATCCTGATAGGATATTGATTTCTGTCAGGTCGTCCAGCTGGGAAATCACACATATGACTAGAAAAAGGACAGTTGCACTAATGTTATATTAAATGTTTTATTTTGATATTTTAAATCTTTGTTGTAGAAATGTTGGATTTATTTTTTGTATTGATTAGATGCGACAAATACAGGTCAGATTAAATAAATGGACCCTGTTTCCATCATTCCATGGAAGCTCTGGTCTACTCATGGCCCTCAAGCTCCCACCAACATGTAGTCACTGCCCTAAGACGTTACCATAGTTACGGTGCAGGAACAGGATGTTAAACCTCTGGTCAGAAGAAGGGACGCTGAGATGCGATCCTCCTCATTAATATCCTGAATCGCCCTCCAGGGTTATGGAGATGACCTGAGCTGCCAAATGAATGAAATCCGTCTGGTTGATGAGCTGCTTCACACAAGAGACACCATTTACAATTACCCCATCTACAGTTCAATTTACCAGCTCTATTTACAGGCACCTCAGGTCTGTTTGTTAATTATGCTTTCACGTCATTTAGATTTAATTAAAGGAATTTATAAAATCTTGGATTCAAATGCAGAAAGCCTCCCACTTAGCTCTGCTTATGTAAAGACAGCCCAAGCTTTCTGAGCTGGAGGAAGAGAAGCCAAAAGTCCATTAAGTGCATTCATCTATAATTCACCTCACTCTTGCTTACAGGGTCACTTGAGTGAGTCTTTTTTAAGCTGTACACAACTTTTGTACTGTTTAAAACAACACAAGCTGCTGCTGAGTTACAAAAGCTGATTTTACTGAAGCAACAAGTACTTATATAGCCTAAGAAAACTTCCAACAATATTAAAAATTGCTCTTTTATGGTAATTAATCTGATAAACAGACATTAAGTTGGCACTAGTTGCACTGACAGTGATGGGACATGGCTCAGTCCAGAAGGTGTTGAAATCAGAATTTAACTTCCTGCTGTGGTTTTCTGGTGTAACATGAAATGTGAAAGGACCTTAATTTCATTTCCAGTCACACTGAACCTAATGCTGTTTGTCAGATAGTTCAGTGGATCACTCATGCCCTATTTGGCTTGTGTCTGCCTGTTGTCCTGTATGCATCTCGGAGCGTGTACGCAGTTGTTGTCCACAGGCAACTGTTCAGTAAATAGGGCAATTAAGTGTGAAAAGCAGAAAGGAGCTTGAATGTTCCTGTCTCTTTGGTGGGGGAGATAATTTATGCTAATAACATCTCTACAGCTCAAGCTGCCCAAAAATGATAGCAGACCCTTTTGGCTTCAGAAGAATCTTTTCATCCTCTTGGAAAGAAAAAAAAAGTGGTTTCTCAACACCTTGCAAATAAGACAGCTGTGTGGCAGTGAATGAATCTCTATCCCTGCCTTTCATCTCCAGATGATAATCTTTTCTCCTTCGCTGTCTCGTTCATGGTGCATGTTTCTTCTGCTTTTAGCTTGTGGTGCACTTGACGCCTAGTTCCCTTCTCTGTCTCCTCCTTGCACACAATTCATCATTTTGTTTCCTTTAGAGTCGTCATAGGAAGCCACGGCGTGTGTGAATGCATTACTGTAAATAGTATTCTATGCATGAGTGATGCTTCTTAATAACACTTAAACTTGCTGCTCATATGGCATAAATTCCTCTATCATACTGAGGGGCACAGAGGCACTGGGTGGCTATGGAGACCAGAGGCCATGCTGGCAGTTCAATAAATAATCCCAGTGAAAGTGGGTGCAATAAACCACATGAAATCTCTACCAGCTGCCCACAGTTGTGCTCAGTAAGGAGCTTCCATGTAGGCTGAAAGAGAAAACGAGTAAGCTGCTTCTCCCTTTGAAAGCCGGTAACGAGAAAACCTGAAAATGTGTGTAACGTCTTCAAATATTTGGTTGTAAAAGAATTCAGATATTTTAGATATTGAGGAAAACGTCCTCACATGCAGTCAACTTGTTAGCAGATGGTTTTTTTTTTCTTTCTGCGGTACCGTATTGGTTTTTCTGTTTCCGGGAGCTCATCGTTCTGTAGATTACAGGTTGCTGTGCTGATGCTCAGTGTCGGAATGATGTTGAGTGTGTTTGGTGGAGGTGTGTTCAAAGACTCCTAACTGCTAAATTGTCTTGTGTGATGTGTACTCTTAGCTGTTCTTCCACCCACTCTTGTCTCTGGGCATCAAACACGAATGTTTCGTCAGAACTGAGAGGATCCCTTACAGGTGAGTTCTTTAACATCCTGAAACAGCAATACCTGGGGCTGGGAGCAAACAGC